TTAAATTTTTGTCATATTAAATAATTATTTTTTACTATAAATAAAAATCATTAATTTTTAAAACATTAGATTGCATTATAGTAGTTTGATGCATCTATTTCAACAGATTATATATGCCATGCTTAGTTTAACTTTTGAATTTGTATTTTACAGTCTAAAAATAGGGATTTTTAAATAAAGAGATGACCTCTTGTGTATAATATTAAAATTCTTTTTTCATCTAAAAATGAATATTTTTACTATCTAAAATAATTTAAACTATAAAATATTTTTTATTAATTTTTTAAAAATAAAATATAGACATTAAGCAGATGTCAAGCAGAAACTCCAAAGAAAGATACATAAATAAGTTACTTCCTCTCTCTCTCTTAAAAGTGATTGTTACTTTTAATACAGAAGGTAACCCTGGCCAAAATGGAGAAGAAAGAAAGAAACTGCTGTATAAGTCGGCCACATGCCTAAGGCTGTTTTGGCGACGTGCCGATTCCTTTTCACCGGCTGCGTGGTGTACTCAGACTGTACCTGTACAAGCAGTCTTTCCTACATATGGCGCGAGTGCAAGTCACACAACTCATGAGACCTAAATACGCAGATCTACTACCAAATCCACAACCAACATTCAATAAACGAATGGCTGGAGGGAGGGTGGTGTGAGGATATGTAAAATTGATAAACATAGAGAGGCTCAGAACAATCTCCTTCCCATTTCTCTCATTAACTTGACAAACTCAAAATGAACAGAGGTTGCATAATATATTAGCAACCATTACAATAACATTACGTTTGAAGAGGAGGGTACCTACTCCAACTTGAGACATATTCTCTGATAACTTGGCCACAAAACACGGCTCTATGTATTGAGGATTATATTGATAAAGATCTCCTCCAAATGAGGACAGCCATAACATTACATAGCAAAATAACATTGAAATAAAAGAAAGATCCAATGAAATCTTCCATGCTTCAACAGAACAGGCCGTGAGGTAGAGAACAACTCATGGGATATAGTTGTAAAGTGCTTCCTTGATTCATTGACACTATAGACCCAGTTATCTCCCTTCCTCAAACCATTCTCACCTCCTCCATCTATGCTAGTAGTTCTACTTCCAACAACCCACTCTAGGAAGCAAGCTCAAAGTGCTATTTGTGTCCCGTTAGTTAGAAAAGATAAAGGCATTCCTCCAACATTTTTGAACATTGAATGGGGGTGACCATTTCCCTGCATGATGCTCCCCAATTTTAAGCTTCATGGCAGAAACGAACGAAAAGATTTCGCTTTTCATAAGCACCACTCTTCATCAGTTAATTAGTTGCTAGATTGAAAGGAATGCACATGCATTCCAATTGATGTTGTGATAGGTGCCAACTCACTCAAGTTGACCTGATGGCTGATTCCATATCACTGTTTCTTGAAGAAATTCTCTTTCTCCAAAAACCTAATGAATTAGGATTTGTGAACAAAGAGCCATAAGTAAATTTGCTCTCTATTGGCTATGCAGACCATCTGTTGATAAGCAACAACAAGAGAATATGATTAAAATCATGTTACTTACTAGAAAATTAATTGATCCTTCTTAATTTTAAACCTTAAGGCTACATTATGAATTCTCTTGTCCAATGCAGATAAAACAACAATGTACAAGACGGTTGGCAAGGATTACCCAAGTTACTTCTGCTTCTGCAAGGGTACTACTGGTACCAAAAGCACCATATTACACCAACCTCCAAGTAGATGGTTTAATTCAATCCCTTCACTTTGATGTGTAATTTTATCAACAACTTATCTCTGTATAAATTCCAAGCACAAGATTAGGAAAGCAAAGATGATGCATAGGGCAATGCTTTTGAGATAAGAAAATTTCTTTCATTATAAAAAGATAGAAAAACTAGGTACCTCTTTGGATTGTGTTTAAGCAGTGCTCCCACAGCTTCTCAACAACCGGATGGTTTGAAAGCACAGCACCAAGAGAACAAAGTCACAGGTACCAGCCAGCCCACAGATGCATGAATGTAGCATGTTTACATGTAAATTTTAGACCCTAGAAAAAAAAAATGCGCAGAGACTGTTGAAAGATGTTTACCATGAAGTTTATTAAGAAGAAGATAAATTCACAAAATCATTAAACTCAAGATACTCTTTTTTTATATGAAATTTTAATTAGCAAGAAATCACATTGAGTTTTAGATCTTGAACACCTGCTTATGGTTAGGAAATGTGCTTATGACTTTTAGATCTAATACATTAACTAGTATATAATGAATCTCTCTTGCTCAATTGGTCTTTAAGGGAAAATCACCAAAAAAAAAAAAAAGAACTTTTAGTCTAGATACTTATCTCTAGGCATCATGTCCACTACATGTCATTAGTCCATTTTCAAGAAGCAATAGATGCATGGATGGGAAAAACAAAAAATGAATTCCATGAATTCCAAAATAGAATAAATAAAACCAAACATCATGCCTCCATGGAATCAACCTGATAATTTCTATTAGCAAAAGAAACCAAAGTTTCGTCTTTCCAATAAAGGAACATCAAATATGTGTCTATGGAATTAGAAAGAAAGAAGAATTACTAAGAATTTCAAAATGCAGAGGCTCAGGCATCAACAATCTCATTGTTGGTAATGTGGTATGCTTTGAAGACCAAATAAGCTACCTCATAAGGCCATTGTAGAGAATAATATAAGCAAAATGGACATGCTTTCCATCCTATCCACATGGCTCCCTAAAAGGAAAAGGAAACATAAGTCATTTTAATATACCAAACACATGGGGCAGAAAAAGAAAAGCTAAACAAATATTTTAGTGAGATCAGTGACTTAAATCACTATATGCTTAATAAACTTCAAGGAAACATCTAAAATGAATATAATAAAATTCAGGAACACAATACAGTGTATTTGTGTCCATTATGAAGTAACATACATGTTTGAAAAGGATATAGAAAACAATTTTGCATGGAAAAAGTAAAGAGATACTTAAGTCTACTTGTTTATCATCTTCAATGATTTTGTCATGATAGATAACAGGAATGAAGCTGAAAGAACTTGACATTTAAAACACAACAAATGGAAAAAGCAAAATTACGAAGTCTCAGAGTTCAAGGATTTGACATGCAGATGCAATTTCCTCAGTCCGTTTCATCACTCAAGAAATATGTCACAATTTGCATCTTTCATGTGAGAAAGGAGAAAGAAGAGCAAATGTCTGCATCAAAGAAGGAAGAAAATGAGAAAAGACAGGGAAAGCAAGAAGAAAGAAAAAGGCTTGTCAAATCAAATTCTAAGTGGAAAATTGGAGATAATGTCTTACACTCTGTGTGGCTAATCGTGTCAGAATATTTAGTACAAAAGGGTAAAAGGAAATCCTTTGTATTGGGTTAGTCCCACTCTAACTCCAACAATTTCCACCACTCTTTTGGAGACACCTGGAAATCTTTGAGAAGAAGAGAAGGAGATTGTATGGTTGGCCATTGTTAAGCAAGGGAAGATATAGAGGAACCCATTTCAGTTCCTCTTAGAATTTAAATTACAGAGATTCCAAACAAACCACAGAATCAATATATTAGAACAGCTAGTCAGTTACATATGCTCTTCATGTATCCAGGTTACCCTTGACATCTACCTCGCCAAAGCTTTCATAGCTCCCCTAATCCATGAGCAGTACCTCAATAGTGGATACCAATCCCATTAGTACATCAATGGACATTATCTTGTGTTTGCATCAATCTACCACTCATACTCATTCCTATTCACAACTTCTATTTGAAATAAAATTTTAAGCCAAACCAAGAAAATTCATAGGATTATAGAAATCTGAATATTTCTCAAAGAAAGCAGTGCTAGGGGCACTCGCCTCTTGCACTCTCCGGCCAACACTTTCACTCTTATTGGGCCACGTTCTTTTCATAGTAAGAGGTTGCAGTTCAAAGCCTGAAACAAGCTTACATGGCCCAATGAAAGGAGAAGTGTTGGCCGGAGAGTGCAAGAGGCGAGTGCCCCTAGCACTTCTCTTCTCAAAGAAATCAAAAACAAATTCCCAACCTATTTGAAATAAAGCTAATGATTTCAAATAGCAGACAAATCAGAAAATTAGTTTTCTAGTTAATTTGTGCTGGACTTTATCTACTATTCTAACAAAGGAACTACTCTACACATTGTGTGCGTTGAGAGAGAGAAGGATATTGCCAAGAATCTCTAGAAGCAGGATCACCAATTTTAACAATCCCATAGCTCAATAAATTCAAGATCATTCTTGTTCTTAGTAACTAGGTACCTTCAAAAACCAAATAAGCTGACCAAAGAGCCCCAAGCGTATGTAGTATAATATTTGACATGCTTTCTAGCTGCATCTCCCAGATTACCTAAGACAGTATCAAAAAGCATCAAATACAGTATTTATCAAAGTTCATTCATATTTGAGGGAAAATAGCTTTACCTAACGTTGGTCCTTCATCAACAATTCTGAGAAGATAAAGAATCAAAGTGCAGATACAAAGTAAATTTCATGAAAGATAAGGAATAACTTTGGAGAGAATGTGTGATTCCATCCTGCTAGTTTCCTTGCTGTGGGATCATATCTTGACTTACTACAACATATTCGAAAAGGAAGAAAGAAAGAAGAAACATTTGCAAGGTGATATATAAAAACATTTTTCCCTGATAAAAAAAAAAGTTTCAAACTCAATCCTGAGCAGAAACTTTTAAGATAAAAGGCACATTGTTGTCTGTGGCAAATCATCAAGTAGCTTCCAGTTGTTCAATCCTTATTGAATCAATAAAAGGTTAAAATAAGACAGTATTCTTGTTTGAATGGATTTCATTTTTGTTTGAATGGCCCTTTAGTGAATGATTCCCACCATTCTCAAAGAAGGCTAAAACACAATGGCATTAATCATATGCAAAAGGGAAAGCAGAATTAAAAGATAAAAGACTATGTTACACATGTGTATAGGGAATAAAAGAAGAAGAAAAGAATCTAGCGGGGAAGAAAAGAAGAAAATGAAATTTAAAAAGCCAACTCCCATCATTATAGAAAAGGAAACAAACAAATAATCCAGTCCACTTAATAAAAAGTATAAACATCATTACAAGCATAACTATAAAACTAGACACAAGTAAACATATCAATTTTTACAACATAATTCACACAGAATGAAATGCAAGCCACACAAAGGAAGCATTACATTTAGAATTTGACATTTGAAATTACAACAAAGGAAAAAAAAAAAGGGTGCGATTTATTCATCTTGTCCCATGTCATTGCACTGCTGAACATGTAGTAGTGTGTCTGGAAAGGAAGAAACAAATAAGAGGCATTTTTAATCAAAGATATTGATTAAGAAAGAAATAGTGGAAGCGTAAATATAAAAATGTTTGGAACTAAATCTTAAATGGAAACTTGAAGATGAAAGGCTTACCTTTGTTTGTGGTGAATCATCGAGCACTTTCCAGTTCTTCAATCCTCATCAAATTCAACGAAGGGCAAAAGGATATCCTTTGCATTGGGATGCTCCCACTCCAACGATTCCCATGACTCTTTTGAAGATACAAGGATTTCTTTTAGAGAAGGAGGAGGTGAAAGAGGAACTCTTTTCAGCAGCGGACAATTTTTGATTTCCAAAGCCTCAAGAGAATCGCACACCAACACTCTGGTTCTGCCACAGATGCTTTTCAATTTGGGCATACCATGCAAGCCGAGAATTTTCAGTTTGTGGAGAGGGAGTTTACCATCTTCTTCTTCTTCGGACTCCTCAGATGCCATTATTTCCTCCAATTCTTCACAATCCACCACTACAATACATTCCAGATTCTGGAGGTGCCAAACTAGCAACCTAGGTGAGAACAACTTTTTTATTTTAGGGCAATTGTGGATCATGATGGTTTTCAGAGGGAAAGAAAGTGCTGATGGAGCAAGAGCTTTTTCTTCAAAAAGGGATTTTAGGTTTTCTAATTTGGCAAGCAGCAGTAACTGAAGGGATTGGAGCGGGTTGAAGTTGAACGAGGAGAAAACAAACTCTACGCTCTGACACTCAGCAAGTAAGCACGTTGTCAAGTTGACCGTATCCTTCAAGAAAGAAAGTTGGTCTACGCATTTTAAGTCATGACATCTTTCTAATGCAATTGCCTCAACATTGTGGGGTAGAAGAACACGCTTTTCAGAAGCAATTGGTAGACATGATATTTTAAACAATCGCTCCCAGTATTTTAGGTAGTGGAAAGTCACATCTCCTCCAGATCCAACACCGAGTGTATAATCTCTGAGTCGTTCCCTTCTGCTTTGCATCATTTTGTAGAAAATGCTCAACTCATTCCAATCGATTAGATCCCCATTAAAGCATTCTAATTTCTCTAATGGCCATAAGTCTTCCCCTTTTACTTGTATCCCATCTATTCTTAATGCTAGGATCTGAAGACATGATAGTTTATGCAATATTCCTTTGGGGAGTTTTCTTATTTTTGTATTACTAAGATTAAGATATTTGAGATTTACCAACATTTCCATACCTTCAGGGATTTCTTCAATTCCAGACCTGTTAAAGTCCAATTTTGTGATGGCTTGACAATTAGATAAATCTGGCACCTTTCTTAGCTGCACACAACCAATTAATAACAATGTGGTGAGGTTTTTCAATTTGGAGATGGAACTTGGCAGACTATTCACTTCATGATTTTTAGAGAGATCAAGAATCTTGAGTTCATTCATCTGCTCAAAAAAGGAATCTGGAAAGTTTGACAAGTTGTTATGAGACAACAACAAAGTTGTAAGCATTCGGCATTCTGGAGAAGACAAATCTCTAGGAATCTCTTCTATTGAATTCCTCATCAAGGAAACCCTCTTCAAATCCTCTGTCCATTGTTCCTTGTTTGGTAGCTCTCTGATGTTCATGCCAGATTTTACCAAGAAACGAGGACTCTTGCTTGTGATATCCAACGCCATGGCTCTCAGAAGATCATGCATCTTCACAGCTCTTTCATCTTCATCATCAAGTATTCTACTTTCCACAGTTTGAACTGTTTCTAACAAGCAGTTATCTTCCAACTTCCTTAGAATAGCCTGGCCCTGACAATTCATCTTATGTCTAGTTTCCATTTGAGCAATAAATCCTTCTTCAATCCAAAACTCAATTAGCTTCCATTTTCGAATTGCAAAGTTTTCAGGATATAGTGCACAGTATAAGAAGCAATTTTGGATTTTTTCATCATTCAAACGATCAAAGCTGAATTTCAATATCTCAAATGCATCATTCATTGTACCTTCCACTGTTCTTGTACTTGCCATAGTTCTTTTACAATTTCTCAACCCATCTAGTGCATTCTCCCACAACAGAGGGCTAGATATCCCTGTCATACTGCTTGCAACTGTGACAATTAAAAGAGGCAAACCTCCACACTCCTTCACAATCTTCTTCAAAGTTGGTTTTATGGCTTTTTTAATAACTCCATCTGCAGATAAAACTACATTTCCAACTTTATTCAAGAAAAGTTGTAATGCTTCCTTTTTTGGAAGAGGCTCCAAATTAACTATCTCACAATTCATGCATCGAGCAACATCTTGAAAACGCGTTGTCAACACCAACTTGCAACTGTTGCTTCCAACCAAATTTGGAATTCCAACATCTTCAAGAGAAATGTGCTCCCACACATCATCTAAAATTAACAAGTAGCAACTCTTTGCCAACATTTCTGACAACACTGCTGCACGCATAGTTGCATCCTCCTCCAGAAGAGGTATTTTCAATTGGCTTGCAATGTCTTTTTGTAACTTGATAACATCAAAGTGCTTCGTTACTGTTACCAAAACAACTTTCTTAAATTTAGTTTCTCTATTCAATAGTTCATTGTACACAAGTTTAATGATGGTTGTTTTACCAATACCACCAAGTCCACAAACTCCGATCCTTGTAACATTGTCTTCCACCAAATATTTCAAGATTTTTGTTTTAGTAGCATCCCTGCCTTGTACTTCTGGGGTTGGGACTGCAATCCCCTTTCTTGAGTGATCATCAACCACCAAAATTGCTTCAACCTCAGTGTATTTTTCCCCTTCATCAAATATTTCCTTCATTTCTCCAATTTTTTCATCCAAATATTTTGCTACACAAATGTGAGAGAAGCATTCCACTCTGCTGACTTTATCTTCAACATCTTGAATTATTTTATCCCCTCTGTCCAGCCATTCTTTAACTTCCCTGCTTTCAATCTTTCCAGGGTAACATTGTGTTTCTATTTTTGATTTGATGTCACCCTGTCTTGCCAGCAAGCTTTCTTTCTTTTCTTTGAATTTACTAACATAATCACCAAAGCATAATTGGTGTTTCACACATGCCCAAACTGTAGGAACAACATCCTTCACAATGTCATAGATTGGCTTTATAGTTTCCATTACGTAATTCCTGCATAAGTATACTGTAAGGTATTATTTTCAAGGCAAGAAATTGTTTGTTTAGATGTATAGACATAGAACTACGCTTTAGGAAATTAAGGCCTTAGGAAATAGTTTATATATTTAACAAAGAAGGAAAACATTTTTCGAAATTAAATAAAGTATGAAAAACCGAAAAAGACTTATTAATTTAATAAGAAGTTAAGTAATCAACTATGGCAAATCTAGTTAGCTAAACAAAACATTAACATAAAGACTTCTATTCTTTCTAGGGATTGAATTTTAAAGATTTTGATTGGTAGAGGTTGACAATCAAGTTTGACTAATTAGTAATAGATGAAAATGTTATGGATTTAATTAAAAAATTTGCATTGGTTTATGGTCAAATTAATAATTATCGGTATTAACACACTAAACTGTTTTCATTTGTGCATTTGAATTGTCCTTTGCAAGATTAATTCATACATTTATTTTGTAAGTTATAGTTAAGTGATTGTGTAGAAGGTAGCCTCCTCCATTTTGTTTTATATAATCCAGTTTAAACATCTCATTATTTGCTGCATTACTAATAACCAAAATTGTGCTAATAGTCAAAAGTGCCCACGTAGAACATATTATTATTTAATGAATTATTTGGTACGCTATTTACTAATTGTCAATGGTTACGGATGCAAAATATATGATTTGAAAAATTATTTGGCATGCTATTTGATTGTTTTAAGGCATATGTTGATTCATCATTTCCTCGAGAATAATTTGAGGTTGTATAATTTCTAATATAGTGAGAAAATTTTTAATTTGTAGAAACATCTTGATAATATAGTTTAGTGTAGAAATTGTTTATTCAAATTTTGAAAATTAGTATTAGAGAAATATCTTGAATTAGTCACAAATATAAAGGATATTAATGACGAATTGAAATTCAATCACTACTTTTGGTCACAAAAATTAGTCTATTTTCTTGCAATGATAAAATATCTAATGATAAATATAAAGACAAAAATTGTGTAAATATATATATATATATAATGACTAATGAAGATATAAGGGGTGATTAAGGAAAAATAATAGAGAATGGATGATAAAAAAAAAGAATATTAACAAATGAATTATTAATATAGAAAGAAAGAGTTAAGACGATATAATTTAGAGTGAAAAAAGAAAACAAAAGAGATAGTGTCACGAGAAAAAATTATGAGAGGTGGGGTAATGATAC